CTAAATACTATATTGTCTCATAATTAACATGATTTGCAGGGTAAATTTTAAAAAAATTCTCTCCGTGTATAATATTTACGCTATGATAATGTAACAGTACCGACACTGTCTAGAATGTTTAGAATTTTTTAAAATATATATTTACGCTATGATAATGTAACAGTACCGACACTGTCTAGAATGTTTAGAATTTTCTGTTTAGAATTACATAATAAAACTAAGGAAGTTATCCTCAGCAAAGCCCCATTTGCTGAGGATGACCTGAATTAGGCCAAATTAACATACATTTTATATATTATTTGGACCAAAATAGAAGAATTTTTACGCACCAACAACAGCATGAACTTTAAATTTCTTTATTTGATTACTTATTGTGATATAAATGAATACAATTTTTAAATATAAATTAAATTTTTATCAAATCTTCTCGTGTTATTTTATGAAACGTTATTACAAGTTCAAGTTGACAGTGAAAAATTAAATCGATGTGAATTTAAAAATTAACATGGGACGCGATATTTAGTTATATTATCTTCATCTGATTTGTTTATGTTCACCTTTATCCAAATTTATTTAAGACATTGCAGACGTATATGTCATGTATAACGACAGGTATTATTAGTTTTATTTATTATTTAATTTTTTAAAACAATTATACAGAAAAGTATCTTATACTTAAGATATTTTTCAAATCTGATTGTTGATAATCAAACGTTCGAATTGCGATTGTTTGAAACGTTTATACAGATAAAATAAATCAGGTTTTTAGGAATTTGTTCTTTACCTTAAACAGCGAACTTGCACGTGATCGGCCTGAGCACGTGATGATCTATCGGACTGTCGCTGTCGATCGAATTGATACACGAGAGTAGCTTTATTATTTCTGACACGAATAACAAACTCAGTTCCACTAGAACTGAAATAAAACTGACTGCGGCGTCCTACGGACGGCATTCGGTTTTTATCCGAGCGTGTATCTCTCCCCACTCTGCATCGTCTCCTCATCATTCCCACTTCGTAGACATTAAGACCTCGTGCGATTCGCCCTCGTGTATTTAAATAGATTGAATAGACTTTATATTTCTGTGATTGTATCGGGATAAAAAATGACAAAATTGAAATGATTTTGCATAAAAGGTTTAAAAGGTATTTGAATTAACAAACACGTGCTTTTGAATAATTCAAATTGATTATATTACCATGAATTTACCTATGACTCGGACTATGGCTGTTACGAAATATATTGTACATTATGTTACGTTACATTTGTATAGTATCAAAAATTTAAAAAAAGTTTTCGAAACGTTATTGTATTTTGTAACTTCATATAAAAATATTTGAGAAGGTTAGAAGGAAGATGATATATCTCGAAATGTTTATCTCCAATACAAAATATCGTCATGTTGTAGATAAGTTTTTACAGAGAGAGCTAGATAAGCAGTGTTGTACGAGTATGTTTCCAATCTTATTTGAAAAAAATAATAATTAAAAAATTCAAATTTTATTATAATATCCTGACAGATTTTAATTAAAATTATCACTATTGTAAACTCCACAATTTTCTTTGTTAATGGAATTTATTCGTTAATAATTATAATAATATCTTACTTATATAAATCATAAAATATTGAACGAATTCAACGAATTATAATAAATAAAAATAAAAATATAATAAACTATAATAAGAGTAACAATAAAATTATTATACACATTGCAGCATCCGTGTCGGTTTACATTGGCTATAATTTCGATCCGTGTCAGCTCACATTGGCTTTGATATCTTTAAAAATAAAAATTTTATTCTAATAAATAAGTGTGAAATGGCCTTTAGGTCTATAGTTAAAGCACGTGTTTTAATTACTTAAAAAGAAAATTTTTAATTATAGATTCATCTGATGTAATATGATATAAATTTGTTTCAGTCGGAATACAAATACCCATTGACGCCAATGACCCTGTAACTCTTGGATATTTTTGATCAAGGACTGCAATTTTTCATAGGCATTGACTCCTAAGAAATATTGTTTTTTTTTTTAGATTTTTCATACGTTATTGTAAGGAGATAAAATTGCACGAAAAAATAGTAAAAAAGATAAAATTAATAAAAGATGAAATGATAAATTAACTCAATATATAACGTATATATTTTTTTAGACAATTTAAAAGTTTAGACGTGTAGCTCACGCGCGATTTGCTTTGTTATCAAATTTATTATCAAATCCGTCAGATTAAGGAAAAAGTAGAATAAATAGTATTATATTTGAAGGATTTGGCTTGACGTCAAATACTTCAGATAACATATGAAGTATATGAATGCATACATATATATATATATATATATTTGCGTTGATAAACCGTATATTAATTAAGCGCGATTATTTGAGTTGTGATATCCGAAAATCTGTCGAGAAATTATTTATTAACAAAATATTAAATTATATCTGTCTTTCATTGCCCTGTCACAGCGAAGCAGAGACGATAGATTACATCTTTGTCTATTTATTATACATATCGCTGAGGATGAATCCTGATACGATAAGGGTTATTCGATAGTAAAATATTGAAAATCTAGAGAAGCAAACACTTAGCTGTATATATTAAATATAAATAATAAATAATATATGAAATTTCGATAAAGAATATCTTTGATTAAAAGATTCGCATCGCGAGTAATGAAAACGACGGACATAATCAAGAGATATCATGAAATTATCTTGAAATATTTAGACTGTCTTTCACTGAGCGGTGTACTTTTGAAAAAGGCGAATTATGCGCGCGGACGATTATCTTTAATTATAATGCCGAGGAATAAATTTAAGGAATAAAAAATACAAATAGTATCGAGTAAAAAAAATTCGAGTACGTTAATGTCACGTTTTCATTTATTACCAATTATGGTTCTAAAATGAGGTACTCAATAAAGCGCGGTGGTTGCATCAGAAGAGAGATGCACATTGCACAGTTGATTAAATTCCAGATCTCAATTGGCAATCGACTGATGTAATCTTCCTCCTGTGAGCGCTAAGCCATCGCAGATGTTCGTATCACCATGACTGTCGTTATATGGCTATTATCAGTCACTATTCAGTTCCTGACCTGTTTATATGTATCTTGACACAAGTGGAGTTCATATACTGATAACAGCGCGCTCGAAATGACTCATGGAAACATTGGTGGCTGAAATAGACGAAATCGCTTCGGAGAATAATTACATGCATAATGTGATAGTATATATTAATTACTCTTAGATGTAAACACAAGTTGCCGTACGCTCGATAGAAAGGTTTCAATAAAATCTGAATGATCGTAATAGATAAACATTAAATAAACTCGGAAATGGTTCATTAGCTCTCTGCTGGATAGCTTGTTGCCTTTCCAATTCGCACTTTCTAAACATCGTAATATACTGAAAAATGTATATATATAAGTGTTAATATATATAAGATAATAATTTTTCATGACCGGAAAGCGTTGGAATTTTCATGTTGAGAAAGTGTATGAAAAGTTGACAAATTATATCCTTTTTGTAAATTACATAAGATACATAAAGAAAGTGTACAAAGTATAAAAGGTAACATATACAGTAATTTTATTTTTATATAATGTTACTATATTACAATACAATATAAACAGGTGGTAGACGTCACATAAATTCATTTCAAATACAGCCATTGAAATCAACTTTCGCCATAGGCATTCACAATCAAATCATGCGTGAACAATTGCACGTGTGCTACGTACTTTTAATTGGAATAATCGACGGCGATTATCATCATTAGAAATTTCACGATTAACACAATTGCAAGACGCGGAACGACAGTAACGCGACCGCGGTCGTAAGGCCGGAAGCCGCAAAGTTTGGCAACATTTATTATGCATCGCGGAAGGAATGTATGAGCGTTTATTTGTACTATTTACTTCTTTCGAAGATCCCCTTTTGTATTTCTAATTTGGATTGACGTAAGGTGTGTACAAAAAATACGACTGTTCGGCAGGACAGATTATTATTGTATTTTACATACGGTCCCGTACACACGCGTGATTTCGAATAAAAATTTGTTGCCGTTTTGATTTACTAAATTTCTCCCTCGTTACACGGGGATGCATGAACTTTACTCTAAAAAGAAAAAAAAGAGGTAAAGTTTACGTGTTTATATCTCGAACATTTCCGGATTTTCACGAATTATCGAATTAAAACTCGAACGCATTGTCACAGGCGCAACACAAGTGCAAAATTGTAAATCAGCGATGTATAGCGATATTGCTATATGCGGAACGAGGAATTCAAGTGAAGGGTCTATAATTGTAATAGATAGATAAATATTACATATCAAAATTTACAAATAATCTTTAAATCGATATAAAAAAGTTTCCACTCAATCCTTACAGCTAGAGTCTCATAAAAAATATTGGAAGATGTTTTATAGTCTCATACCTGTCTGCGGAGATACTAGAAAAACTCGGATCTAGGTAATACCTACGAAATTGTAACACACATCTCTTTCTAATAGTAGTCTCTATACATTTCCTTTAGTATAACAATAAATAAAATAAAAATCTGTACAATACTTGAACGCTTTAGGCGCTGGATAATTGTAAACAATTTGAAAATGCAATTATATTTCTACAAATGTAAGTACACATTCTTGAGTAGTCATCGTAACAAGGTGTTCTTGATATACCGAACCTGTTCAAGCGCTGCGATTCACAATGCGCGTAACAATCGCAGATAAAACGTTTCGTCATATGATTTAAGTACATACCATTCGCGCGACATCAAAACCGATAATTGTTTTGATTTTAAAGCTGTCAATACGCCTTCCTTCCCACGGAATATTATCTGTGATGTACATAACGTTCGCTATATGTGCTACGAAAATATATATGTATATATATCTAATAAAAAAATATCACGACCCTCGGGCTCGGATTAAACGCGCGACTCGGAACAATTGTGCAAGAACGCAGCGTTGAGTCTTCGAAAAAGAAAATACTGGAAGATAATCGCGGGAATATATTCTCGTTCGTGTGTGTGTGAAAGATTTTTAGTGAGCTCCGATGACATCGTACACTACAATCGGCAAGGACAAAAACGAGATTGTACGTAATTAGCGCATTATTACATGACGGTGCAGCAGTTCTTCTCCGAGTGATTATCGCTCACGATCTCACTGGTGTTCCCAGTGAAGCGCTGAGTGAAATCGTCGGTGCTGAGATCGGAATTGGAGATGGACGAGACCGGCATCGGGATGCCGTTCCCGTTCGCGTCTACGGAGCTGCCGGTTATGTGCCGGTTCTGCGCCCGTTTCTTCTTCAGATCCGACAGAGATTTCACGAAAACAACGGACACGTGTATGTTGATCTTGCCGTTGGTGTCGGCGTCCGTAGAGTAAATCGGCGACTGCTGCTGGCTGCCGACCAGCGGGTCAGGCCCTGTCACTGCTGTGCAGGCAAACACGTAAATCCAATGTGCTACTTCTTCCGTCAAGCGTGCAGGCTTTTCGATCGACGCGATCGCCACTTTTTCGCCCCTCCACCTCTCAACCCCACTTTCTATCCCTATGCGCACTGATCATCACAATTAAAAAAAAAGGAGAAAAAAAACCAAGGATGTCAACTATAATGAATCTCATGCGCTAAGCCTGACATGCTTTCAGCAACAAGCGTTTCGGAAACATTGCACCAAGAAGGACCATCATATGCACATCAGTGTGTACGTACACAGTATTGTTACTAAACGATTCAACGGTTGCGTTTTACGCAAGCAAAATCAATGAGTACATAAGAGAGAGACAGAGAGACAGAGAAAGAGAGAGGAAGAATATGATAATCACGGCTGTTGTTACAATACAAAGAATAAGAACGGTGTTTAACAATTAGGATATATCTGGTACGTCTTCGCATTTTACTACTGTGGAATTTTTCCAACATTTGGATCTACGAACGATTGACTAACTGTAGTTGCGCGTTATCAATAATGATCGTAATCTACTATCGAATGAAACACGGTGTGATAATTTGACGTTTCGTCTAGAGCACTGTTTCGTTCAGAGAACGCAAGCATAAAGATCCGTTGGTAATTCATCCACCAATGGTTCGTCTTCGCTATATCTGATATGTTTTTCCTTTCACTTCTCGAATTGACTATTTCAATAACGGGAGGTGTGTGTGTGTGTGTGTATGTGTGCGTACGCGTGTGTTTCTGTCTGTGTGATCCCTTATTACATTTACTCCGCCACATAATACAATGGATACGAAGCAAATCTTTAATACGAAGTGTAGAACTTGACGATAGGTATACATAAAAATTCGTAGAGTTGCGATCAATCTTAGGTCATGCTTTAGGCTCAAAACTCGCCCGTTACACTACGGACGTATTATTCGGCAAAATATTTATATCAGTCATCTAAATATATAGGGCGATTCCTCATTACACGTTAATATATTCTTTTTCTTATTTCGATCTCTCGACACACTCCCTACGATATATAATCAAGAATCGACCTGTATACTTTCATTCTAGAGAAAACTTGCGCATAGTATAGTATATGTATAAAGAATGTAGAATAATATATCTGTCGATTCTACTTATTGTGCGACCTACTAGCATAATATATGTATGTATATATAATTCTCTAAATCGATTAGGCTCCAGTTTATGTAAGAAATTACAGAAACAATTCGGCATAACTATAATAAATACCACAATCCGTTTGATCATTATTCTATCTTGCGCTCAGTGGCCGCTAAGCTTTGCTAAAACGGTCCACAAAGATACGCTAAGGAAGCCAGTACCACTTAGGCCTTGCCAAAGAAGATTCGATATATGAATATAAAGCGAAATGTGTATGTGTGTGTGTGTGTGTGTTTTAATGTGAAAATAACTTCCAGAGAGAAAAATGCATTGCATGTATGCGCAGCACACGAAGATATACGTTTTACGTACATCCATGAGCAAATAACTTTTGGCGCAGTGTGATATGTATGATACGAAAGAGATAACGTAATTTAATGCATCGTACAGACCGTGAAATGTAATAATTAAAGAAATAGAAAAGTGACGTAGAAAACTAACCTCGCAATTATTCAGGAGCACGCAGTAGTGAAAAAAAAGAAAAAGCTGGTAAATAATTGACAGCTAACACAATGAAGTTTGACATGAGTACATTTATGGGATTTTGTAATTAGTAGATTAGTACGTGTAATTTATATATTCGATTCATTAGAATTATTCAATATTGTTTTCTATTAGTATACAAAATTTATTATATAAAAATTTAAAGATGCGCTTTTGTCAGACTTAACAAGAAACTGGCCGCACCTTTAGTTTCCAAATAATCGTTCTATAATGATCGTTTTAATTATTTTCTCTTCTTTCGTCACAATAATTTTCTATCATTTTTAATGAGCGTATGACTTATAAAATTTATATACAATCTTCAAATTTTATGCTCGCGTTAATTTTCCTACGTTCCGGGCATCATGAATTATAAATGAGCATGATATATAAACATATATATGCGAACATGTATATATATATGCAATTCTTGAATCGCATGATCGAGGTATACATTTTTTGGAAGTCTCTTCGCACAAAGCTACCATTTACCACAATAGTCTACCGAACCACAACCAATGCAAGCAAATATACATTTGGAATGTACCTGAATCTTTATCAACATCTTCGTGAAGAAAAGACTCGTTGTCTTTTCCTTCGGGACCTTTCCGCACCGCTGAAGTCAGCGCGCCGGAATCAGTCTCGTGGTCCCCTACTTCCTGCGTACTGTTCTCCAACGGCGGAATACTTGATGTAGGAGTGCTAACATACGTCTAGAAAAAAAAATACCCGCATCAATTAGTATTTTTTTTTTAATTTAAAGGCCTCGGTCTTATTTTTATATCTCAGAGAAAGCAGAGTGTTGTAAAATATTTTTAGTTTGTTGTACCTGTTGCGCTTGTAACCTCAAGCGAGTTTCTTCCTGGGCGTCTTTTTTCGTAGTAAGAACCTTGTCTCGTATGGATGTCCGACGTACACTCTGTGTTCGCGTGTTTATGCTTTGCGATCTGCGTACCCTGCGTCCTTGCGCTTCACGAAGTCGTTTACTCTCTTGCTCTGTTTTCAATTCCACTATCCTCTCCCTAATTTCCGGATCTTCACATATATCTGCAACACATAAAAATATTAAAGTACAGGATAATGAAGCAATAATCGAAACATATCGGTATATCCTACCTGCGGGAGTTTCATCGTGCTTATTCTTTGCATTTAGGTCTGCTCCGTTTTGTACCAATAATTCAAGTACTTCCAACTGTAATGTAAAATTATATACGACTTAGAAAAACTTTTAAATGTTAAAAAATTTATGATTTTCATGTAAAAAAGATTTGGGAAAGCAGATTTACCGTTTCAATCTAAATAAGACTTAATTTTACATTTATCATAATTCCATTATTTGTATATAAGTAAAAAAAGATTTAAACTTACATGTCCCCAACATGCAGCTGCATGAACTGGCTGCCACTTGTCATTATCCTCTACATCTGTTGATACATGTTGGTCAAGAAGAAATTCCACAACTCTTAAGTACCCATTTGCCGCTGCTATATGAAGCTGTAATGAAAAATTGTGATACAGTGAAAACATAGTTTACTAATTTTTCTTGCTTATCAAATTGATAGATCTACTTCAAGACGTATACATACAGGCGTGGCACCTTGATGATCCTTATATTCAAGGTCGCCTCCTAAAGAAGCAATCTTTTGCAAATCACGTAACATTTGAACCTCGGTTGAAGCTCTCGTTTCATCTATTAATTCTTGAGTAACTCCTCGCCTTGCCATCTCTCCTGCGTTATAAAAATACAATTTTCGTAAAAATTCACCACAACACTGCTTGCGCTGTATGCCATTATTATAACAAAATGTTACAATTTAACAAATTCCATTACCTTCGATACAGTCCAACGTTTTTTCATCCTCACAAATGTCGTACGGCATGTTGCCATCCGCATTAACAGCTAATAAATTCGCACCTCTGGCAATGAGGTATTTGACTAAATGTAAGTGACCGCATGTAGCAGCAGCGTGTAACGGTGTCCATTTCTCACTGTCTTCCGCATTCACGTTAGCACCAAATTCAATGAGTAGCTTCATCATCTCTTCATTATCGTCTATACAACACTGATGCAGTGCTGTCAAACCGTCTTCGTTCGTCGAGTCAGGATTTACACCCTTCTTCAAAAGCCTTCTTACTGGAATGAGATAAATGTTGGTGAGATGTAAATACACTGAGGCATGTATATTATACATAGTATATTCATTTCAAATATGTATATATATGTACAAAATTTCTTACCTTCATCGATGTCATTCCGCGCCGCGGCTTCCAACAACATAACACTGTCGCTAAAGTATATATGACGTTTATTACTTGTATGCCTAGTTTGATGCCGCAACCATTCCTTCTCGCGCTGTCTCCATACTTTTAATTGCTGAAGTCTACGATGACGCGCCAAGTGTAATCGCTCTTGCGTGGTCAGTCTTTCAACGTGTACCATCTCTGCCACTAACTCGGAGTGATCCATTGTTAGGTGCTTATAATTTTTGCAGATATATTTACCTGTTAACAAAAGAGGAGAAAAACGTCACAAGATGTTAGGCACACTGAACATTTTCTATACACACATACATAACACATTTTTGTGCAATTAAATATCGAGAGAATAAAATAACGTCCCAGAATAAATGTACGTGTCATAAACGTTTGCAGGTCACGTTCGACCTTATTAATTATACCACATTTATCTGTACTTTTACTTTTTAAACATATTTGAAAGAACAATCACAGAATTTAAGAATTTGAAAAAAAAAAAAAAATAAATAAAATGTAAATCCAGCGGCTTTACCTTTAGGCTTACAAAGACAAGATCTCATTCTCAGATAATTTAAAATTTTTCGATAAACACCGGATGTCATTCTGGTGTAATCGAGATTTTCACTTATTTCAATAACGCACACGCAACTTGACTGATCCCTCCTGAGCTATCTGGCGGGAATGATAGCATATTTTAACCAGGTGCTCCCTCGAAACTTATCAAATACTTAGGTAAGTAAACATACAATATTTGCACAAATGTTCGCACATGCTGACAAAAAAAGCTCTTTTTGTGAATAGCAATGAACGATATGATTTAACGCTTCGACGTGTGTACCTTTAAAAAAAACTTGACTGGATGTCCAAAAATACTTCCTCAAAAATAAGGTCAGTGCATTTACCTTGAGAATTCATTAAAAAGACAAAAATGCAAATAAAATAATGTAATATTCAAAAATAAATTGCTGAAATGTTTCTACATATTTTCGCTTCGATTAGACGTATAATGAAAATCTTTGTTAGGTATATAGACTGCGTGTGCCTGTAACACATGTGCAATAAATTTCATCCTTAATCTCAGATAATACATTGCGTTACTAGATCAAGAATGTACATATTTAAACGTTCCATAATCTCGGTACACAGAACAAGTTTTACGCATCTCAGACAGTTTACAAAAAAAAAAAAAAAACGCTTGTTCTTCCTCAAAAGAGAGTTAACTTACTATAACCATGTAACGGGAAAAAAAATAAATACCGGAGTTGTTTATCAGTGTAAAGATTTGTTTTTAGAAAACTGTCAAAACAAGGAGCACTTGGTTGCCAATGCGAATTCCAATTCGAATCAATTGCACGATTTCTCGCGTCAACCCCGTGACACGACGAGAGGCGCGTAAGGGAGACGCATAGGAGAGATACTTGCTGATCGTTCATCGGGAGCCTGACGTCTGGTTGCACGTTACTCCGCGCACAATCACCGCCGCGGAAAGGTGCACGGCAGAGTAATATTCCGTCGCGCGGGAATTCATCGCCCTCCTCCTCCTCGTGTCCCCCGCGCTCGCGTACGGGGGCGATCAGAAATGCGGCACGTGATCCCGCGGTAAAAGCACGAGTCGAGGCGGGATAGACTTTACTTCCTGCCAATTACATCGGCTTTCGGAGGGTAACCGAAGCCGTAAAGCCGTTGCGCGATCAAGGCCAGGACGCGCGCGGCGCGTATCGCGCAGGATCTCACGGGAACGTGAGAAAGGCGCGAGGTAGGGAGAAGGGGGAGGGGGGGAGGTGGAATTCTCCCACGGGGCGACGGACGGACACACGAGGATCAGCGCGATCGAGCGATGCGCTGAAAATCGACGAGAGAGCGGTTCTCTCCTTCTCTCTCCCTCTCTCTTTTTTTTATCTCGTTTTTTATGTACTTACGTATGCAAACGCGCGGTCCGACACGCGGCGGCTGCGGTGGTCCGCTTTCCTTCTCCCCCTATTTCCGCCGCGATCGCGATCGCGCCAGGCCAGCGGAATGTAACGACGAACGACGACGGCGAGGACGAGGAGGCGCTCGGGCCGAGGACTCGAGCTCGGGACGCACGGCGGCGGGGCGATTCATTCACGTCGCGCTTCGCGCCTAACCGCGGCGGTGATCTACGGCATAATCCCGCGAGCGAGCGCGATCCCTCGGTGCGCGGCGCGGCGCGCGCGCGTTACGCCGTCTCGCGAGGCAGATACTGCGTGTGTGCCACTGCCGGTGGCGAAAATACGCTCGCGCGCGTTCCCCGTGCCTGCCAGCGCGTGCAGCCAGCCGCGGAAACGTCTACCTGTCGGTCGCCATTTTTAAACTACCTGCGAGAGATCGCGCCCGCGCGCACGCCTCGCCTCACCTCGTCCACTCTCGGCCAGTCCCGCCTGGCCTCGCCGTTCGCCGCGCGCGCCACCCCTCACCGCGCCCGCGGATCGAGCGACCGGACTCGCGGCTCGCTTCAGCTCGCTCGGGAATCGTGAACGAACGGGATGGAGGCGCGCGCGCGCACCCTCGCCGACGATCGGCGGCGGCGCCGATCGGCTCGATAATATTCCGCGCCGAGCCACTTCCGCCTCGCCCGCGGAATAACGTTATTGCATAACCGTTTTGTGCCAGCTGGTCGATAAGCGGGGGGGGGGCAACCCCCTCGATTCTCCGCGTTTGGAATGCTTCAAGGTTCGGATGAGCTGATCGACGAAGCGTGATCTTGGCCGCGCTTCGCTGGATTTCAAATTGACTTAAATTCTTAGGCTGTAAGTCGTTTGTATCACTCGAGATAATACACGTACATACATTTTTTAATTAGATACGTATAACAATGTTTTTCAAGTATAAGGAATTATCACTGTCACGTGTGTGTGTGTGTGATATCAGCGTCGCGAGAAATGTATTGTCATACGCACACACACGTGATAATGTATGATAGTGACCACTTTTCTTTCTCTCGCAACTACGTGCTTCTGGGAAAACACTTCGAATATACGATAATTCAAAATAATATATCAAAACGCTTAAATTTATTTTTCATCATGTGTTGCATATGTTGCACGAATGAAAAGAAAGAAACGTTCTATTCTCGTATCCTTTATTGAGCACAGTAATATAATATATATTGATTCGGAGATCGTTTTCAAAATCTAATTGAATCGTCGAAGCGGAATGTCAAGAACGACACGCCGAATGACACGCGCGCGTTGAACACGCGGCCGTTTTGCGATAGAAATTCCGAAATGAACGAAGTTTACGTACTTAAAATCGAATTGGCTTTTCTTTCGTTTTCATAAAATAAATCAAGATCGATTCGAATATACATCCGAAATCGCGCGCCCTCCCGATGGACGCGTCGAAGCGCGTGCTCCGATGACTCACTACTGTCGTCATTCGTCGCCGCGTCGACGTGCGATCGCGCTCGATATACTCGGCCTTCTCGTCGCATCCAAGTGCGCTCCCGACCGCGGAGACACACTGCTCGGTCCCGAGCAGATAAAGAATCGAATCTTATCTGCGGTCGCGACGGCACGGCGCCGCTTTCCGCGCGTTCGCCACTCGCGATACCGCGCGGTGCCACGCCGCGCGGACGACCTTGGAGTGTGGACACCGCCTGCCGATCTCGTCGAGACGTCGCCCCGACTCCCGGACGTCCACGTGCATCGGTGCATTGTCTACCGATATGGAAGAACGCGGCGATGGCGCCAGTACCGGGGCGCATCTCGCGGTCGTAGCTGGAATTTTTGCTACCAGCGGTAGTCTTCTTGGCAAGCTCGCCGGCGGCGCTGATGCGTCGTCATTGGTGAGTTGGCGGCCGATTCGAATCGCCGGTAAACAGGCGAAACGGACGGCGGATTTTTATTTACAAATTTAGTTTTTGGAAGGAAAAAATTTTACGGTTAAGAAATTTTGGATATTTTTAATTTTTACGACGTGTATAATGGCCATATACATTATTGCGCACTTTTTTGTGCAAAATACAATTTTTGCGGAATCTTATAAAGATTTTCTAAAGATCTTTTAAAGCTCATCTTGTTTTATATTAACAATATCTATATATGTTGTTATGCATTGTCAAGACTGATAAACAAGCCAAGAAGATAAGTGATTGAAAATTGGAAAATTAAAAATAGATTAAACGTTAGAAATTTGAAACTATATATGACAATGTATTATGATGTTTACATGTTTACTTTGTTTTTGCGATAGCCGTCGTTGCTTCTAAAAGGAACGCTTCTCATCCTTATGATTGTGTGCAACACCATAGGATGCACGTTTTTTGTCAAAGCACTTCATGCCAGTGGATCTTCTTTGCCGATGACGGTCGCCAGTGCAGCCACGAACTATGTTTGTTCGGTGAGTTGTTAAATCTTATAATTAATCTCGTAAATAATATTTTCATTAGATAACACGATGTAACACACGAACCTTCCTCTCGCGATTTTAATCTCGACGTTAACTTTTTCAACGAATTTAAACTCGATTTAGTGAAAAACTCAAGCTACTAGTAATACTGTTTTGAAGTATCTTTGAAAAAAGAAGCTTTTTAAAAAGCTAATTGTAACCTTCAGGAGATTCTAAATGATTAATATAATATTATATTACTTCTCAATTAAAGTTTCAAGGAAATTTTATTTTAATTCGTACATTATAATAATATGTAACAAAATTCAAATTAAATAATTGTGATATCAATGATGCAGACTTCTCACCAAGAAAAAGTTCGCGACTTTGAACTTAAGAATTTATCATTGAAAGAAATACATTAACTTTTGTATTCGGGAAATTTTAAATAAATGACATAATAATATCCTTCAATTCAATTTCAAGAGAGTTCTACTTCAACGGAATTTTAATTCGTGATTTATAAAGACATATAATGAAATTGAAAATTAAAAAGTTATGATATTAATGATAGCTTTTCCCCAAAGAAATAATCTTCTTTAAATTGGAGACTCTGTCACTGAAATTAAGGTCGCGACAGGACGATCGTTCACAACGTGCTTATCGCAGAAAGAAAGATTGTCGTGAAACATCGGGCCGGATATTTTTTTGAGAAAGTTTTGAGAACGGTAATGGAATGAAATGGCGTGGGGAAATTATCTGTAGAAAGAGCATTTGTCGGCGGCAATTATTCGTCTATAGCCGGCGCGGCCCGATATACTATACTTCCGAGAGTCGGTTCGCAAAGAGTGAAAGTTGTTTCGCAAACTAGACTCGCAATTCCGCGAGTGTGCACAATGCGGTCATAGCAATTATATGCGCACAGGTACGTGGCGATTGAACGAGAACTGGTACGATATGATACACGCTATTGAAACGCAATCTCGATTGCGGCGCATTATACGCTGGGAAATGCATTACGCCGGAATTATTATTAGAATAATAGAAATAATTACGTTTATTGTCTCGCGAGTGATTCTTTTCTTTCCCCTCTTCGTTCCTCCTTCTATGAAAATATTATGCATTCCGTACGTGAAATATTAGCAAAATTAAATTTGTCTCATTAGTCCGTCAAGTAGAAATGATGTCGGAGATGTAGAGGAAAATATCGTTCTACACGTTACGGAGAATTATATAGAAGAATTCTATATAATTCTCCGTGAAAATTAATTTAATCCGTTTCGCGCGATAGCTATACTAAACCCAACACCGTACATCGATTGCGTCGGCGTGAAATTAAATATTCACGAGATTAAGTTTGGGTTTGCGAGGATATAGGTACGTTTTAAACTTAAGAATGTCACCGATTAGCGATTCCCGAGAAATAAAGATGCAGTTATATCCGTATCTACATAGTGTCCTATATATTACCCTATGTCAAACACGTGGCTTATCGCGATTACATTGATCTTCAATATTTTTTCATTTCTTTCTTAAACAATTTTAAAGTGCGAAATAATAACACAAAAGACTTTATTTTTGCACGATGAATCTATTTTGATGTAATATAGTAAAAACAAAAAGAAAGACTTGATCAAAATTAAGGAGCAACATATATGTATAAGTATGAACAATTTATATATTTTTTATAACATTTTATATTTGTGTGTGTGTGTGTGTGTGTGTGTGTGTGTGTGTGTGTGTGTGAGTGTATGTCACGCTTTTCATACTTGTTATGTTTTTCATTTCTGCAAAAAAGTTGAAATTGAAATTATTTTGCACAAGTAACTGTGCTATCAAAATAAAACTTTAACTTCGAAGAATTGTGAAGAAACATAGAGGTGAAGGGATATTAAAAGTCTCGATCATATTTTATTATAAAACGCTTATTTTGAATATTCCTGTAAATGTCCCTTTCGTTCTTAAAGGCTTTTGTAGGCTTCATTGTATTTGATGAATCCACTTCATTGACCTGGTGGTGCGGAACTTCCTTGGTACTCCTCGGCTTGATGTTGATCTGCAATGTTCCCGCTGAAAAGAACGCTTCCGCCGTCGAGGAAAAATTGAAACATCAATAGCTGACGACGAGCGCTTTTATATTCCAAGCAAGAGCGATTGCGATTATGTTATAACGTCACGATTACTTCCATTTTTATATTGACATTGATAGATATTTATTGTGTCCTTTTGTCGGAAATGTTGTATTATTTATGAAAAATAATAACACTGAATTTCAATGTATAACATGTGAAAGTATTAATACAATAAATAGATAGATTTTTATTTATTACGAGTAGAATACTATTTAAGTATGTATAAAGTAGAACTTATACATTCTTTATTATAAATAAAATATTCTATTTTTATTATTATATTATTATTATTATATTTCAGTTTTTTCCAGTGATTTTCTACGTAAATGACGGATATAATTTTGAAGCGCACCGACGTAATTGTCCGAACACGAGATGACGTATCATGTGCACGATAGGTATACATATACGATAATGTATTATTAGATTGATCACTGAACGCAGTAATGCGAAATTCATTCAATACAGAAGGATAAAAATAATCTATCAGGTTTAAAGAGAAATATTTTGCATGCTTCCTTCTGTTCTAAAATTATTTGGTTCAAAAAGACTGATTAATCTTGATCGTACGGAAAATTTTGAGAATGAAAAGTGAGAGTAACGGATTATTCTTCACACAATATATAGAGTACAAGAAAAATATTTTATGCGATTTCTTAAAATATTCTCGATCGATCTTAACATTTTTATATTTCTATATGCAGATTGGATAGATTTTATGCCGGGTTTTAAAATGGGTCTTTAAAATCCATGTCGAGTTGCGTCTGTTTTAGCACAGCGAAGTGGATATCCGTGCTTACAATTATAGCAATGAATAAGCGGAATGACAAGCGAGATGACGAAGAGTACATGACGAGATGGATATTCCTCCCTTAAAACATGCTAGCACGATGTCACCTTCCCCTATTCGAGCCGTCAAGTAGGCAGCGTTTCACATTGACGCATTAATGAGGCGAAATTAGCACGGCGAGCAAATTATATATCGTTATTATTACGTTATGCCCGTGGTGACGGTCTCCGCGTCAATGTAACGCGTAATGAAGACGGATGTATTTATGTCCCGGGATGGGTGAATATACCTACCATGCGAATGAATATGCGGCATCTGATAGCGAGCTATAACGAGCACGCCGAACGAATCGATCCCTGTTGACGTTAATTCGCCCGCAGGTATCGAGATAGTTATCAGAATGATATCAAACGCGCACATGAATTTTGATGCGAAATTGAGAGCCATTGGCTTTTTCATGTGTAACGCGCTCCCGTCGCGTCGTCGTGATTTTCAACATTTCCTCTGTATACCACATCACGTTGGAACGAGTTAATATCATATTTTATCATCAATTAGCAAACGTAGGGTAAATATCGAGAAAGCGAATATTTCGCACGTAAATAAGAGAATGTTATAGAAAGAGAAATCATTATTGTAATTAATAATTATATTGCAAATATGAGGAAATTATATTAAATGGAGGAACTATTGTTATTTAATTTAATAAGAAGTTTGAAATATTTCTCACTTTCGCTCGCTCTCGATACCACCCCCTTCGTTCTTTCGGGATGCACCGCGGGAGCGGAAAGAGCGCGTCTCGGCGGGATGCCGAGCTCATTCAGGATCGCGTTGTGCCCTACACCGGCGTTCGGCCACGACGCAAGCGTAGCCCAGTAGCCCGTGTGCGAGTCCTACTACACTAGATTTCTCGTTTGTAGGGCAGGGTCGAGGGGCGGAGGGGGAAAGGAGGAGGGGGAGTTAGGGGGTGAGAACGGCCTTTATCGAGCGGCTTCTGCGCGAGCTCGCCTCGACGCTGACGCCGACGTTGTTCTCGACGTTTTCACCCTCAGGGGCGGATAACCCCTTCCGACACGTCGCCGGTAACTTCGCGAAACGCGTGACTGCTGTCTACTGGCTTAGAAGACGTCTTCTCGTCGCGAGGAGTTTCAGTTCTTGTTGCTCGGACAAGGAAATTGCTAATCGCGCCAGCGAAGCAAAACTCTAATTTAAGACTGATATATGACATGATACAAAAAATATACTCGTATATAAAGGTGGAGATTTTTTACATTTCTTAATTATAGACTCATGCAAGATTACAATATCGTTTATTTAGAATCTGGTTAGATTACAATATTTTTATATAAATTGCAGAATATCCTCACGAGTCCCTATACGGTGTCTGAATCTCGCGGAGACAAAGTTCCTTCATCTCGAGCTACCTAGGATCCGAATCGTCTCAATTCGGTCCTGCCGATCCCCACCGTGTTTCGCACGTTCTACCCCTTCCCATCCCGTCGCGACAAATCTGTTACGAGATTTCCACCTTCATCCTCGCCCACCTCATGGCAATGAATTTGAACGGGACGCAGATTCCCGCGGACGGGGTGAGAACGACGACGTTGGGCAATCGCGGCGTCTGCGTCGGTTCCTACATAAGAGAGAAAGAAAGAGAAAGGGTAAGAAAGAGTGGTATGATTCTCCCTACTTTTTGCCGCGGCCGCGCGAGTCCGGACGTTCGTATCTCCAACCCCCGGGTTGCGGCGGGTGAGATCAGCATCTCGAAAGGACGACTGGATGTCCCTTCCGACCGGGGTGTCTCGCTACCGGAACCTCGAGCTGATCCGACCCGACGACGGGCCAGACGTCGTTCACCGCGACAATCGATCGCAATAGTGCTTCGAGAGCTCAAGGTGCGCGTCCCCCGAGTGTGCGACCACCTTCGCGGTGTGTCATCTCGCTCGTCCGTCTGATTTCGAAGTCTAGTGTTTTCAGAAGGTGCCTCAGGTGTCAGGTGCGAAATCCTGTGGCCAGAACGAGCCGTGCCATGTCAGAACTGGAGAAACGCGCATTCGACGCAGGCTGTTCGCGCGCGGTGATAGGATCTACCCCACTATCCTGCACGTTGTTCTAGTCCCTGTTCCGTCACCCTCCCCCGCGTTCCTTCTCGTCGTCGCAGTCCAGTTTCCCCCACTTTGCGTGTACCCCGCCTTTTTCTCTCTCTTTCTCTTTACTCTTTTCTCACCCCTCGCTGCTTCGCCACCGGGAAAACCTTGCGTCCGCTCCTCGCGCGCTGCTCCTCGCCGAGAGCGGGGCAGTTTTCATACGACGCGCCCTTCTGTCGAGTCGTCGAGAAAGAGAGAAAGAGAGAGAGAGAGAGAGAGAGAGAGAGAGAGAAAGAGAGAGGAGAGGGAGAAATAAAAGAGAGAGAGATAGGAACGCACACAAATTGCGATACAATCTACTGTAACGATGTGTGACAGACGTGACTGAAAGTGTAATCGAACGATGGAATTAAAGAGGCGCGATCTGCCACGATCGGCCGCTTCGGGAATTCCTCCTCGCGGAAGCAGTTGAGCGAAGTGCAAACGATTTCTCGTCTATTCCGGCTGCTCTCGAAGAGAGAGAGAGAGAGAGAAACAGAGAATGAGACAGATGGAGAGAGCAAAAGAGACGAGATAACGTCCCGCGAGTGCAACGAGCTAATCCGCGATAACGGAGAGCAATCTCTCCCAAAGGGGTTTTGTCCCCGGCGTCTTTCTTGCGATATCAGTGTGGAACGTGAATTGTGCAGGTGCGTCTCGAATCGCTTTTTTCATCCCTTCTCATTTCGGAGCTTCCTTTTGATTTTGAACGTCGAGATGCGTTTCTTAACAAAGTTTGTTTATCGCGAGTAATGAGACCATCTGTTTAATCTTCACAACTGCCTTATTATTATGTGCGTAAATGAGTATTCTAAATATCTTTGTTCTCACGTTTAAATATTCGTCTTGTCCCTTTACATCGAGAGAAATATCTAGATGCTCTTCATTTGTTGCATCATTTAATATCATTTAATAACACATACAGCTTTTAGCTTGATTACAGACTGAATCGCGATATGCGAGATCAAAGATTAAGATCAAAGAGAATCCGACAATCAATCTAGATATAATTGATGAAAAGATTTTATGATATGCGTCTTTGACACGCTCGATTTTTAATGAATTAATTTTATGCAATTGATTTGCGATGAAAAAAATTTACCATAAAAACGTTTCGAGAGTGACAGCATCCGATTCGTCGAATATGATTGGTTTTCGCTGGATTTACCGGCCACACATATCAGCTCACAGTTTTATTTTAAGAGTAGGTCAACATCACGGGATGCGCTGCGCGTTTTACCATGCAATTGCATTTGAATCTGAATGGCAAATTGATAACTTTCATACAGTAGGAAAATAGCGGCATTCCCAGTTGCGAATATCCACAAATCTGGACAATATCGAATATTCTGATAGGAGATTATTCATGTTCACGTCAGTGATTGTAATGCCGATATTTCGAAATGGCGGTACTCTTTTTAAAATAAATTACTTTTTGTATAGATTATTATTAGATTAGGTTGACTAAAAAATTTTATAATCTTTGATTGTAATTGCAATAAATGAAATATGCATTTTTACATATTTGTTGTATTCATTTTTGTATTATGCAAACCTTTTTATATATACATATGCACAGAACGCTGATGTATAATATTGATATCACTGATCAAAGATAAAATCGCATAGATGAATAAATGAAAAATTATTACTTTGTTCCGGTATTGCAATCACTAATTTATGGCTTCTCATCACGCTGGAGTGTTAATGTATTAACGGCCAATATTTTATTTTCGAGGCAAAAGTTTTAACGCGAATAAAATGATTTTCATAACGAAAATAATCCTTTAAACTTTCCAATGTTTAATTAGTAAATATTAAATTTTCAGCTGTTTAATAATGCTTTTATGGTATTAATTCCAAAGTTTAAAAAAAGGCAAAAGTGACATTTAATATTTGTTATATTACATTTAAAGGGCTATTAGTTCATAATATGAATAAACGTTTATGAAATTTAACATGATTTTTTTCTGTTTAAAAATTTTAAAATCTTTCTCGAAATTCCGTTTAAAAGAATTTTTTATTGTTCGAATTTCCTCTCACATCTCATTGTGAGAGAAACTACGATTGTTTATATCCTGGTGTCGTGCGCCTTCAATAAATTAGAACTCATACTTACTAACTGACGGCGTAGTATTAAGTTACGAGGTCGTGAAGAGTCCGTGAGTTGTCGTTGCAATTAATATAACTTTCAGCCACGTCAATGAAGAGTTTCGACTTCTCTTTCGTGGCGGTCGACCAAATTAATATACATTCAAACCGGGAACACGAAATTTCTTGGACATCGTCGCGTACCGCAATTGTATCAATATTTGATTGCGTTCTACGACTTTTATTGAAAATGAACAGTTGCAAGCAAATGAAATAGTGTTATATTTCGCGCGTTCCGCGCATTCGATATATATATATATATATATATA